TGTTGGGTATTTTCTCTCAGCAATGAGAAAAGTAACCAAGATATTTACATATATTTTAAAATGGAAACAGAGCAATGTTACTGTAAGGGCTCAAGAATTAGACCATAGAATAGCACCATATCTAAAATATAATATTCCCTATATAAAATCAAATCTTTATTTTACTTATATAGCAATAATAGCAGATTTTTATTGAGTACTTGTTATGTACCAGTCACTTTTATAATTTAATCTGTACTGTATGATTTAATCTCCATCACAACCTTATGAATTACATACTATTATTGTGTCCTCATTTTGCAAATGGGGAAACTGAGTCTCCAGGAGTTAAGTAATTTGCCTGAAATTACATAAATAAGTGTGGTAAGAGCAGGATGCAAACTGTAGATTTCTCTCTCTCTCTCTAGCTCTCTCTCTCTCTCTGTCTTCTCTCAGCTGGAAACCACATGAGGTTGGAAATCTTAACCTGCTTTGTGCTAGTATAACGGAATACTACAGATTTACTGACTTATAAAGAACACATCTATTTCTTACAGCTCTGGAGGCTGGGAAATCCAAGATCAAGGGGCTAGCCTCTGGTGAATGTCTTTGTGCTGCATCACCCCATGGTGCAAGGCAGCAGGGCCAGAGCACAAGAGTTGTGTTGTCATGGCTGCCTTGATGTCCTGAATCAACTCAAAGTGTTTCCCTCCTGTGGTCATTTTGACTTTGGGGAAGAGTCAGAAGTCACACAGTGCCAGACCTGCTGAATGAGGTGGGTGAGGACACACCAGAATGCCTGCCTTTCTGTTGGATGCCACTTGGCACCAGTTTCTGCCATAGTTTTAATCATACCTTATAAAGACGCTCATGAATGAGCACTTCCAGAACTGCTTCAGACAGTGGCAAGAATGATGGGATAAGTATATTCAAAGTAAAGGGGTATATTTAGAGGGGAATTAATGGTAATATGTCTTTTAAATTTTTAAAAATTTCACTATATTTTGATCACCCCTTGTACAAGCCGAGAGGGTGCCAAATTCACTTTTATAATGAACCCACTCCTGCAGTGACAATTGATTCATGAGAGCCAAGCCCTCTTGGCCTAACCACCTCTTGAGTGTTCTACCCCTCAACACTATTGCTTTAGGAATTAAGTTTCTAATACATAAACTTTGAGAGAGTAACTCAGACTGTGGCAGAACCATATCCAGCATACTCAGCATCTAGGACAGGGGTGGGTACATTGCAGGCAATTAAAAAGACATGTTGACTGAATGGATGAACCAAATGTTAACAGTAGCTTTTTATGAAGGATGCTGATGGTTAAGCAGCCCTTGAATTGTCTACTTAATGTGTTTCTTACTTGAATTTTTTGATGAGTATATTGGCCAGTTACTTATTCATGTGTTTCTTTGTATTTCTCACCCTCCATATTTTTAGGTGTTTTTGCAGAATAAATTCTCACTAAAGGCCTGCAAGTGGAGATGATGCCTTTCCATTCAGAGGCCCTTAGAAAATAAGGATTTGGGAGGCCATCTTAAATAAGACACTCAGCAATGGGATCGAGACTGTTTTCCTGTGTAGTCTCATAGGACAAGATGAATTTCAGATTACTGTTTTACTCTGTAATTTCCCAGAATTGTCATGTTTATTGTGTCTTTCCTGTCTTTCTAGTGTCCTTCCCTGTCCTAAAATACCACTTTCCAGAAAGAAGTAGGCGTGTGTCTCTCTTGTTCACTGCTTTTTCTCCAGCGCCTAAAACAGTGACTACCATGTGAGAAGAGCCCCTCAAATTGTGAAAGAAATGAGGAACTGAGTGAATGAAGCCCTCGGAGTACCACAGTCTGGGCAGAGCTGGGAAGACTGATGCGTTCTGTGTGGCAGCATCCTAAGAGGGGAATGCCTGAGAGGGTGAGAGCTCTTTCTGAGGAGACCAGCAGATACAGGAAAGAAGGAACTATACCGCGACAGCATGTGATTCGCCACAGACTTGCTTTCTCAGGGACTCTTTGATAGGGGATGTGATTTACAACTACTCCAGGAAGACTCAGCAGGAGAGCTGCTAATAACCGCCTCACAAGCATTGTGTGATTTATCAGTTAGGGTGTTTTGTTATTGTTACAGACAACTAGCCCAGAAAGTTGGGCTGCTTTGCTTCTGGTGACGGTCTGGGGGATCCTGGTTTCTTCTGTTCCGTCGCTCTCCCATCTCCCTGGTTGCTGTCATTCTCACGGTTGAGTTGGATGCCCCCTGTCTGTCTGCATTCCGGCCTCAAGAAGGAGGAAACAAAGAGGAGGCATGTAACTTGTTTTGACGCTGTCCCTCAGAAGCGGCATATATTACTTTGGCTCATATTCCACTGGTGAGAACTTACTCTATGACTACTTTAATTGCAAGAGAGGCTGAGTCATGACAGAGTCACTGGGGAGATGGTTATAATGGAACTAGCTTCCTAGGCCCCTGGACTGACTCAAGATTCTGCACTTAAATGAGCATCCCAGGCAATTTTCACACACAGAAAAAGCTGTGAGCCACTGCTTCCTGCTCCTTGACAGCCCCAGGCCAAATTTCTCTTGATGTCACTTCCCTGAGTCCTTTTCGGATATCTGACATCCTCAGCCATCTCTCCCTTTCTAAGCTGCTGGGTTTCTGTTGAGCGCTCTTGTTCTTGAGTGCATCTTGGGTGATGGTTGTTGGATCTGATCCAGCATGCTCTTGGTTTGCTCCTGGTACACAAGGTCAGACAGGATGATTTTTAAGATCTCTAACACCAAAATGTTAAATTTTCCCAACCATAATTTATCCTAATAGCTAGCTGGGCTGAGGATGTAGCTCAGTACAGCACTGGCCCAACATTTGTGAGGACCTGGGTTTGATCTCCAGTACTGCATGTGCATGTGCATGCATGCACACAATTATAGTAATAATTACACTACTAGAACTTAACTAGTCTTAGCTCCCTAGATTCCTGGATTTTTTAGGTTTCTGGGGGCTTCTTGGGATATGCCATAGACAGCATCAACCTACATTCTTGTGACTCATTAAAGGTCTTCCTGAAGGACCCCTAAGTATGAGGATTGCATAGTTCAGACTTGGAGCAGAAAAGGGGCTCAATCACTGTGTGGGAGTGGGATAGAGTTACTTATGTTGCAAGCTCCCAGAGTGTGGGTAATTCCCAGCAGCTTTCTGTGCTTTTTAAGGTCAGAAATATAAGGTAAGCTGTTTTTTACAGAAATTTTACCTAGTCGTGTTTTGGTCTGAGAAACAGCCCTGAAATGTACCTTGAGCAGGAAGATTTCATGGAAAAGAAAGGAATAGGTGGGCTCAGGGAGGACTGGAAAGAAACCAGAAAAGTGAAGAGTCTGGGATCAGAAATATATCTATAACCTCCTAAGCTTTTGTGGGCACTTGCCGAGAAGCCCGAGGCTTTTGCAGCCCTCTTGGTAGGTTTTACAGGCTAATGAGTAAAATAGAGGATCATAGTGACCTTTAGAAGTACCATCGTTGCATTTCTGCAGCATGAAGTGTGCGTGTCTTTTTCATTTTTAGTGGTAAAGCTTCTACGTGCCCTATATTTAGTTATTAATCATCCAATGACACTGAATAACTGAGTTAGCCAAGTATTCCCTTTAACAAAACAGATGTTGTTAAAAAGTCACTGTGTTACTTTATGAAGAAAAATTCCACTAACATGTAAAATATTTGATTTATAAAAAGAAGACAAGAAATAAAGGGAAAACATGTGATGTACAATTCAAAAATAAAAATAGTTCATTGGTATTAAATAGTATAAAAAGACAACTGTCTATACAATTTCATGACATGTACATGAAAATCATTCTTTAAGGCTGTTGGTATCTTCTCCTTGGGAGTCGTTTCTGTAAAATAGCCTCTCTGTTTTTCATTTTCCCAAAGGAACTTGTGAGAAGTATTTTAGCATTGCTTATTTTCCATAGATTTGTTTCCATCTTCACAGAGTTAAAATAAGCAGTTTTCTAAACTAGTGGTTCTCAAACTTCAGAGTGCATTAAAATATCTGGAAGATTTATTAAAATATAGATTGCCAAGCTCCTTGAGTTTCTTGGTAAATCTAGGGATTGGGCCCACAAATTCACATTTCTTACAAGTGACCCCAACTGGCACTGATACGGCTGGTCAGGAGACCAAGATGTCTTCAACTACCACCTCTTAGTCTTCAAGAAATCTAATTGGATTCTGAAGACTAAATATAACTTGTGGGTTGTTTTTGAAAGCAGAATACCATTTAGTGAAATAAGACAGTTAATCTCTCCAAGTAACTTCTCCTTCCTTTGCATTTTTTTGTAGGAATTTTGTTGGTTGGTTGCTATTGGCATGAATTAAGCCTTATATTCCTCCAAGCGAGAATTATATCTGCTTTGAAACTGAGTTCTTCAAAGGGTTGTGTTCATCTTTGAATTCTCTATTGTCCTTTGCATTTTGCAGACAGCAAATAATTATTTGGTAAATTGAATTTAGCTATGGATACAAGTTTTGTAGTATTTACTTAGTGTTTAGCTTTCTACATCTAAAAATCATAGCAAATATTGAATTAAATGGACTGTTCAGCTCATATAAATTGAACATATCCACTTGATTGACATTTGAAGGTGTAGGAAGAGAATGGTTTCCTTAAACTAGGCCAGAGCTTGTAAATCTAATTACACTGATGTGTGTGTGGTACTGATGATTGAACCACTGAGCCCTTGGTCTTTGTACCGAGTAACTTCCCCTCCTTTCTAGTTTTCCATTTTGAGACAGAGTCTCACCAAGTCATCAAATTGCCTAAGCTAGGCTCCAAATTGTGATCCTCCTGCATCACTGAGCTGGGATTATAGACGCGAGCCACCATACTTGGCCCCTACTTTTTTATGGAGACATATTTGTACATCCTTATGGGGTACACTATGGTATATAGGGAACCTCATTTGTCTCTCCTTGTACCCTGGAGAGAAATGGCAGTAGGTATAAGGAAAATAAAGACAAGAGACAATAGCTGGGGTCAGGTGGACTGACCTCTTACTTGACAGGCAAGAGGACTCACTTCAACGGTAGGAGCGTTTATTTTATACCCTTGCAAAGTTAGTATCATGAAAGGTAAGGTTGCCTAGCAACTAATGACTGTAATTGTCCAGGCAGGACGTCTTTCTGAAGACTGAGGCAACTTGACTGCCTGAGACATGCTGGCTCTGTACTGCCCTCACACATATGACCAATTTCCAGCCCCAGCAGCTCCCAACAATGGTAAATAGATACATTTATATGATGTGTAATATATCATGGCAATAAGGACTTCCATCTCTTCAAAAAGTACTCTATTTTTATGTGCTAGGAATTTTGTACTGTTCTAACAATTTTGAAATATATCATAAATTATTTTAACCAATAGTCACCTCACTGTGTTATTGAAAAATCAGACCTAATTCCTTTTCTCTGTTTTAGTGCTTCTTATTGAATTTCTTCCATCCCCTTTCTACCTGCCTGCCCTTCTCAACCTCTAGTGACCACTATTCCATTTTTTTAATGGCTGAACAATGTTTCTATTGTTTATACAGATCATTTTCTTCATCTATCCATCCAGTGATGAACTTCTGGGTTGATTCCATCATGATCCATTCAGAATGGCGATGCAGCAAACAAGGGAGAGCAAGTATCTTTCTCGTATAAACACTGCATCTCCTTTCCTACCCAGTAGTGAAATCACTGGGTAATTCCATGGTTCATGTGGAAGGTAGCTCTGTTTTCAGTTTCTTGAGGAGCCTCCATCCTGTTTTTCATAACGGCTATACTAATTTACTTTCCCGCCAACAGTATATGACACTTACTGTTTTTCTACATCCTTGCCAGCACTATTTGTCTGTCTTTTTGATGACAACATTTGAAGTGAGAGATGTCCCTGTGGTTTTGATTCGTATTTGTAAGCTGGAGCACTTTTTCATGTTTGGTGGTCTTTTGTGTCTTGTCGTTTGATAAGTATCCACTGTGTTCTTTAGTCTATGAAAAACTGGATTGTTTGTTTCCTGGATGTTCAGCTTTCTGAGTTCTTTATATATGCCAGATATTAATCTCTTGTTGGATGAAGAGTTGGCAAATAGTTTCTTTCTTTTTTTTTTTTTTTTGGTTTTTCTCTGGTACCGGGAACCGAACTCACGACTTTGCGCATGCCAGGCAGGCGCTTTTGCCGCTGAGCTAAATCCCCAGCCCCTGGCAAATAGTTTCTTTCATTCTGCCACTTGTCTTTCTGTTATTTTCTTTATGGTGCCGAAGCCTCTTCGTTTGATCAGATCCCATTTGTCTAGTCTTACCCTTGCTGCCTGTAACTTTGGGATCCTATTTTTAAAAATCACTGCCTAAATCAATGCCTTGAAGTATTTCCTCTGTGTTTTCTTACAGTAATTTCATAGTTTCAGGTTTTACATTTAGTTTTTTTATATTTTTTGAGTTGGTTTTTGTGCATGGTGAGGGGAAGGGATCAGTCTTCTGTATGCATGTATCCAAATTTTCCAGTGCCACTTATTGAAGAGACTATCTTTTTCTTCATTGTATGTTGTGACTTTTGTCAAAAATTAGTTGACTACTCATCTGCCATTTTAAATCTAGCTCCATATAATGCTTTGCTGCCACCAGCATCCCTGTGACCCAGACTGCACCACTCGCCCCTGCCCATGGCTCCACCACCATGGAGGACATGAACGAGTACAGCAGTATAGGAGTTCGCTGCTGAGAGGTCCAAGGTAACAAGAGCAAGAACCAGCAGGATGACAGCAAAATGTTTTTTGGAGGCTTGAGCTGGGATACAAGCAAGAAAGATCTGACTATTTGTCTTGATTTGGGGAAGTTGTAAATTGCACAATTAAAACAGACCCAGTCACTGGAAGATCAAGAGGATTTGGATTTACACTTTTCAAAGACGCTGCTAGCACTGATAAGGTTTTGGAATTACAAGAACACAAACTG